CACATTAATAGATTGATGTTTAAGCATGAGCTATATCTATAACTGATATCCAATTGATGAGCATTACCAATTTAAAGAATAATTCCAACAAAAGTTTGATTAAAATAATCAAAACCAATATGTTTGCATCCAACAAATTGCTTTTTAATTTTATCTACTGTGTTTTCTCTCGATACTGATTCCGCAAAATTTGATGTTTGTTTGGTTTTTTTTTTTTTTTCAAACTAGTAATTTATGGCTTTGATTTGTGTTCTTTTTTCTGATGTATTACTTGATCAAAGTTCTAAATATATATATATTAAAGATTGTGATAACAAAAGTAAATTGTACGTCATTGTTAAAATATATTGTATATAGTACTTGATTAATGTTTCTTCAATTATAAGACATTAAGCACGGTGTGGCATAACTACCAACACGATTATTAAAAATCGATTCACTTGTATATAAGACATGCTAACTTAATTTTATCTTGGGCTTTATTTAATAGATGATGGTTAACATTGTTGAAAACTCTTTTTCACATAGTTCACCTATGGACGTGATATGTACATGCAATGTATGGTTCAATGTATGGTTCACATTGAGCAGTTGACTTGCTTTTTGTGACCGCTTCATTGTCCTCCTTGTATTGTTGCTTCTCAGTCTCATTTACACATTACAGTATAGTTTCATTACGCATCGGAAATCCTGTGCATACTCAACGGCTAATAGCAACACTGGAGAGACCACACACACACCCGTGAACTTAATACGACTCTCCCGACAAAGGCTCAAAACTTGGTGAACTTGACACAGCTCTCCAGGTCTTTCACTGATATGGCAACTATTGGTATCCGTTCATCGAATTCTATCTATGATAAAATTCTGGTGAGGGAGTACTGTGGCGTAACTACCACTACAATTATTAAACATTGATTCACTAGTATATAAGATATGCTAACTCGATTCTATCTTGGGTACCTTTTGATATATGAAACCTGACATGGTCGATATTTATATTCCACACATGGTATGTAAGATTTGATCGTAGGTAATGTCACTTTTTTATGCAAATACTCATCTCAGCACACTTTGACCAGTCAAGAGGCCAGTTAACTTATGTTTAGTCTCTCAAATGATTCCCATCAAGACTTTCCCGTGATAAAAATCGCTTTTGGTTATGAGTGTTTATCAGAATGCCAATTCTACCAGTTTACTCTCGCATTATTTGAAAGCCATGAAGAAGTCAGTAATGAAGCCATTCAATTTACATAACCTGAATGTTTAATATTAATTATTAAAAGACCCTAGGAAAGAGTAATATATGCTAATTCTAAATCATCACCAAAAAGACGTGTTGTGATGTAGTAACCGATAATTCTACCCCTGCTGACAGACTGTGGGTTCACCCAAATGGGAGCAAAAAAAAAAAAAAAGAAACAGGAATATAAGCAAAATTTAGGAATTTGTCTGATAATGTTCTTGATTGGTGTTGTTGGTCGATGGAACATTACAAAGTCTTTTGCCATGGTTCTAAAGAACATTCCAGAAAATGTCTAGAAAAATATAAAATATATTTCATACTTTAAAAAAATGTAAAATATATTTTTTCTATGAATTAATAAATAATAAAGAAAAACATTTTAAATAATATTAAATTAAAAATTTAAATAATTTTTTTCAAAACAAAAAAAATATGTCTAGAATTTTGGAGGAATAATAAGATTTTTTACTTTTTATTGCAAAATGTTGAAAACTCTTTTTCACATAGTTCACATTCGGACGTGATATGGACATGCCTACTTCAATGTATGGTTCACATTGAGCAGTTGACTTGCTTTTTGTGACCGCGTCATTGTCCTTCTTGTATTGTTGCTTCTCAATCTCATTTACACATTACAGTATAGTTTCATTACGCATCGGAAATCCTGCACAGACTCGACTGCTAATAGCACTACAGGAGAGACCACACACGCAACCACCGTGAACTTAATACGACTCTCACGACAAAAGCTCAAAACTTGGTCAACTGAACACAGCTCTCCGGGTCTTTCTCCAATATGGCAACTATTGGTATCCGTTCATCGAATTCTATCCATGATAAAATTCTGNTACGCATCGGAAATCCTGCACATACTCAACGGCTAATAGCAACACTGGAGAGACCACACACACACCCGTGAACTTAATACGACTCTCCCGACAAAGGCTCAAAACTCGGTGAACTTGACACAGCTCTCCAGGTCTTTCACTGATATGGCAACTATTGTAAATTAGATTGTTCTAAATGGTCAATTTTTAAAAATGGTCTTAGATTAAGGTCCTTGAAAATTTTGTTGAGGTCCTTGAAAAGTCCTGGAAAGTCCTTGAATTTCAATCTCATCATAGAGTGGGAACCCTGATATAGAATGCCACTTTGTTCCAATTATCTTCTCCTAAAGCTTTTATGGTATTTTTACAATTTTATGTTTTAACCCTTTTGGCATCATATATGTTAAGGTTTAGTTTTTATAATCATAATTTCCATCAGTAATAAAAAGGAGCAAAAATCTGGTAATAATTTATTCACTACAAGTCCCTTATAAGAGATGTAAAAATTTTATAGCTGCTCTGTATAATGACTCTTTTTTTTTTTTTTGCAGTCAATGTTATTAGATTATCTAAACAAATTGTTAATGTTTGATTAAGAAAAATAATACCATATATATATATTAGAATAATACCATATATATATATATATATATACCATATATATTACAATAAGTTTTGAAATTTTGTAGAAACAGCAAATTTACTGTTCGTTTTTTATTTTATAAGAAATTAACAAGCTTACACATGTGTACACCTATTGTTTTTTAATGCATTCAAGATAGTGTTTTTATACCTAATGTTCATCATTCCACTCATAGGTTACCATTAATGCTCATTTGCCACAAATGTTCGGGTTACATTGTTTTTTGAATTTTTATTGTATTGCCCCTTTTTTATCTTTTTAAATTCCTTTTTGTTTGAAGTAAATGAATCAAGTAAAAAAATTTCCCCTGAGGAGGTTAGTATTTCTTTCTTGTTTCAGTAAATTTACTTCAAAGTGATTTTGACTGCCACAGCATATAAATGATTGAAACATATATAAAACAATAAAATAGTAGTTTCTGCTTAATTTGATTACAGTTAGGATAATAATTTTTTTTTGTTTATTCTTATAATTTTATTTTTCATTTATTTGTATTTATTCTCTGTATTTAGAAGAAGCCTTTTCTTTCTCTGTGCTAATGCTTATGTTTGAGTTGCCCAGAATTCTACTTCTTTTATGCTAGAATTCAATTTCTTTTGCCACTCCTTTAACTGCAGGTGAACTCTGGGGTGTGCGAATTTGCTGTTAATGAAATGTGATTTCTTTCATCTTTTGGAATAGCGAGTTTTATTCAAACTAAGAACTAGTATGTCATCATTTTAATGCATTGCTCACTTTCATAGAGTTACAATATGAATGGCAGAAAGTGAACTAGTTTAACACGAAACAAAAGATTGACATTTTAAAACATTTAGCCATGATAACTAACGATCTTGATGCAGTGCACCTCTTAGCAACTTCAGGGGATCAAGTTTCTGCTGAAACGATAAATAAACTGCTTTGCTTATGCAGGATTTACAAAAAAAAAAAGAGCCAGAAAACTGAAAAAATTATAGAACATCCTTCAGATTTGACATCTCAAAAATTCCAGTTATGGATGAAAATTAGATACTTGCACTTTAAGAAGAAGAAGAAGACCTCCCATACCCACACATGTGACCTATGATATCAGTGCCAGATAATCTTTATCAGCAAAATGACTTATTAAAGTTGAGCTAAGTTTCTCCACATAATTTGGAATGTTAATTAACGATAAGTTAATCAGATACTGAGCCGTATCGCACATCGAATTAGTTGAAATGTAATCCTTTCCACTTTTTTTACTTAAATTATATTTATTATTTGCTTATTTATTTTATTGTGAACATGATATATTTTTGCTTTCTGTAACTGGCAACTTCGATGCATATTGAGTTTGTTAATATTCCACTTAGCTTCATGACTGTCTTTGTGTTAAGTANTATTTATTATTTGCTTATGTATTTTATTGTGAACATGATATATTTTTGCTTTCTGTAACTGGCAACTTCGATGCATATTGAGTTTGTTAATATTCCACTTAGCTTCATGATTGTCTTTGTGTTAAGTAAGAAATATATATATGGAAAGAATGGAAATCTTTGTGAAAGAATATAGAATATGTCATTTAAGGGAATTGATAGGGAAGAGAATTGAGCTTGGCTTACTCAAAATAGGATACTTTGTTCCAATTATCTTGTCCTAAAGCCTTTATGGTATTCTTACAATTAATTAAATTTAGTGTTTATGTTATTATTATATTTAGTCGAAATTTTTAACAGAAAGTAGAGCTGTTATTGAATCTGGTGTGTTGTGCTTACTTTTTTTATTCTTAACATTTGTGTTTATTTTTTGTTTAACGTACCTAAAAATGATTTGATAGTTAATATAAAAATAAACAGCTTTTTTTTAAATTGGTCTTTATGTATAAATTTAAAAAAAATTATCTTTAGTGTAGATAAATATTTTTCGAAACAAAAAAAAATTAACATCCTTATTTAAATGCAGCGTTTGTTTGTTTTCTAATTATAACTAGTTTTATTTTTAACAAGTATTTTATGTGCACTTTCTACAGCTTTTTGAGATTTTTTTTTCATATCACGAGTAACATGCATAGTTAAATATGTCCCCACTTTGATTATTTGTACATTGCATGCAATGCCTTTATGCACATTCTATTAAACAGAAAGACTGCAAGCAANCACATTCTATTAAACAGAAAGACAGCAAGCAAGGGCAGCTCCAGTAGGGAGTCAGAGGGGGGGGCAGTTGCCTCNTCATATCACGAGTAACATGCATAGTTAAATATGTTCCCACTTTGCTTATTTGTACATTGCATGCAATGCCTTTATGCACATTCTATTAAACAGAAAGACAGCAGGCAAGGGCAGCTCCAGTCAGGGGGGGGGGGCAGTTGCCTCCTGTCGGACATCGCTTGCCTCCCTATCAGGACAAATTTAAAAATTGTTGGGAAAATGCTACCATCTTGAAAAAAAATGTTATTACATTCTTTAAAAGAAATTTAATTTAATTATTATTTTTTATTTAATTATTTATATTTTTTGTAAATAAGAATAAATTAAAAACATTAGCATGAGAATGTTTTCTTTTTACTTACACTTTACCACCACTTACTGCTCACTTTTCATCAGAAAATTCTGATAGAGAAGTCTTTTGCTTGTGTCCATATGGAAAGTTATTTAACACCCCTGAGGGATAGGGCGAGACAAGAAGACTGTCCTACTCCATTGTTCCCTTATCACAATTTTTGAGACTGACTATAATGCGCACTTTCTTCACATTCAGTAACGAAAAGTATTTTGTTAGACGTCACACCATTTAACTCAAAGAATTCTGTCTTTAAATTATTTCGAAGAAGTGAAGGAGTATGTTTGTTCTCTCAATATTTTTCTTTATTTAATTTGCTCTCAAATAGTGTATGTATACTAATAAATTCAATTATAATTGCTCATATATAAGTAAAAATATTAAAATAGAGTTGTAAATGAATCTGCACGTTATGATATCAAAATAATTGATTTTACTTTCTTAGAAACACATTTGAAAAAACTGATGTGAAAAAAAATATAAAGTATAAAATGTGTTTTAATTCAAATATTTCGAATTAATTTATTTGAGCTCCCCTATCAGGGTGGCTTGACTATCTGCCTGGCAAAGTCTGGTGCCATGCTTGACTGCAGCTTACATATCTCTTTTTATGTTGTATTGTCAGTATTTTTTATGTGAATATGTCACAATGTTTGACAATTTTAAAAGAAATGTCTTACATTTTAACAAATGCAACAAAAATTTATTATTCATCTGTTTTAACACTTTCTGTCTTTTTATGTATTTTGTGTAATGTCTTACTATTTACAGAGATCAGCAAAGCAAGTTCGAAGAAAAAGAAAGGAAGATGTGTGTCAGGTTGCGGCTCTTGACTTGCAGAGAGAGAACAGTTACCTCTTGGATTGCTTTTATTTTGTTGAGAGAGTTACGGGTTTCTTTAAAAAAAAATTCAATTATTCTACTTAATAAATATGGTTTACATTTCTTTCAATGCATTATTTATGTATTTTTTTTATTAGTAGTAAGGTGAACTTAGTTATTAATTTTGCACAATATTTTTAGTTTTGTTCTTGTACAGTATTTTTTTTACAATATTTTAAGCCAATGAAAACTACTTATTTATTGATATTTTTTTGATATGTATTTTTAATACTAGTAAAAATATGAAGTCATAAAACTTCACTTATTTTTCTTTAAGAATCATCATAACCATTAAGTATTAAATCAGCCTTAAAGCTTCATCTTTAAATAAACTAGTGTTAGATTATTTTAATCCGTACTTTACTATATTGTGATTAATTACAGCTTTAGTAATTTCTTGTTTTTCCTCAATTAAATATAGATTTTCACCCCCTGATTTAAAAATTTTTTTTTTTAATTTTAATCATATGAGCATTTTTAGAAATAGTGTCAATTAATTGTCTTCTACTTTTTATGTTATCTACAAGCGAAATGATCTATGCATAGCTGCCAACACTACTGGATTTTGCCAGTTTCTCCTGGTCTACTGGTTTAATTAAATTTCTCCTGATTTTTGTGCATTTTAGAAAATTCCTTAAAATTGAGTAAGTTATCGAAAAAATCCCTATTGAAATAGAATTTTTAAACAGATTATTGCTTGAATATTTAAATAAGTATTACTGATATGCAATGAAGTAAATCTCATTTATAGAAATCAGTTAAACACTTTTGTTGTTTTTAAATATTCAGTTTATTTTAATACTAAACTCTCCTTTTTTTTTAAATAATTTGAAAAAAAATCTTTTAACTATCTTTGATGAATTAAATGCCTAATAATATTCAAAATTATGAGTAAACATAATGCATAACATTTTAAGTATGTTTAATGTCAATCATAGTTGGAAAACATTGCAGTTTTTCTATTTTGATGACTTTAAAAATCCCTAAAATTCCCTACCTGTAAAATATTTAGTAAATTATGCAACAATTATCATGAAGTTTATATTATTTTGTAGAATCTGCTGGATTTTTTCCTGTTCATGTTGGCAGCTATGTATATGTTGTTGAAGTTGGCCTCCTAATTATAGCTTACAGGAAAACAAGGCTTGTAGTTTCTTATCCAACTCACCTTAGTTTTATAAAAATGCAAGAGAAAAAATTTTCTTTCAATCAGACAAAAAATATAAATAATATTTGATAACATTTTTGAAAGGATTGAGGTACATAATGAGGATGCAAAGTCCTCATAAAATTACCTAAATTGTAGGCATAAGTACTTTTTAAAAAAGTAAAGTACTTGGACATAGTGCTCCACTTGCACATCAAAAGTTCGGACCAGACATTTAAAATCCTAAACTAGTGACAGAAGTTTAATTTTTTCAATTTTAAAAACCATTTTCACAATGTGATATTTGAACCGAATTTGTACCCTTTACTTCGTTTTATCTGTACACATTTTTTTTTTCAAAAGAAAATAGCTATGTCCCCCAAAAACATAAAGGCTCAAAAGGGAGAATTTAGTGTTAGTGACCCAAGAAAATTATATTTTCACGTAATTTTATTTAGTTTTTGAAGTAAAATTATGCACTCAAAACATGTAATTTTTATTTCAATTTACTTATTCTATAAATTTTACTGAACAATTTGATAATTTACAAATTGTCTTTTTTTTTTTAAAGAAAAAAAATTATTATTTGTAGTCACTGATACAAAAACGACACTATATTTGAAAATGCCCATATACATTAAGTGCTTTCATTACTTGATTGGTCTCTACACTTTTTTTTTTTTTTAAATTTTTCCATTTGTTTTTATTATGTATGTAATTGTTCACAGTATTTTTGAATATCATTTTCCCCAGAAGTTTCAACCTCTAAAAAAAACCTTCTTAACCCATACATTATTTCATTACTTTTGTTGCGTCTACATTGAAACTTACTTAGAGCTAACAAAAAAAATTGCCTTATCTTTTTTTATACATTGTGTAAAAGTGTATTGTGCTATATATCATCTTCTATACATATTTATATATCTTTTATTCATAATAAGTAGTAAGCTCTTAATTCCATGTGTACATATAAACTTCCAGTATTTCTTTATTATATAATTAATTAAATACTCCTTCAACTTATGTACTATCTAAATTTTAAGTTTAAAAAGTGTTTTGCTAAGACCAAATATACAATTGTTATAAATACAATACAATTGTTAAAGTAAAATGACCAAATTTTAAAATTCATTTATGAAATCTCATTGTATTTTTATTTCTTATATTATTTGGATATTAACTTACATGCCAATTTTTTATTATTGCATTATTGAAATTACTTTAGACAATGGCATTATAATTTTTTTTTCAATGGCTATAGTGCCTTAAAATATTTTTGCTTTTATTTAAATATCACATTTATTGTCAGGTTGTATCACGTTAATTAATATTAGAATATTAATGTTCAATTATATTAAAAATGTTATTTGATTTCCACTCTTTTCTGTTATTACAAGTTTAAATTTTATTATAATAAGTATTTTTTACTATGGTCAATCAACAGTGGTTTTTATATGTAAAAAACTGTTTGCTGTAAATTAAATGTAAAACTGTAGCTTCCAAAATTTTAGAGTAAGCTAAACAACTTATGCCTGGTAGCAGAAACCCTACTGCACTGCAGAGGGCATTGCAGAATATTACAACATCTGCAGATTAATTTTCCCTTTGAAGTAAAAAGATTTTTTTTCCACAATATTATCATCTGCAAGTTCGTACTTTTTATTAATATTTTTTTCTTCTGATTTCTTTACTGTGCTTAATGTGTGCACCTGTTTGTTCTCATATTGAGCAGAGCTATTTATTTTTAATTTCTACCCTTCCTTTTAAAGCATTTCTAAACTTGCTTCTCATCAAATTTATAAAGCTGAATTGACATAAAACTTGACACATAGGAGGGGGGGGGGACTTATTTTAGCACGATTAAAAACTTTCCCCATATAGCATAGGTATTTATTTCTTTTTTTGAATTATCAATTACAACAACATAATGTTTCTGTTAATTATTCTTAAGTGCCTCGTGTTTACAAATTTTTCTGTATTGTACACATTAAGCTAAATTTTAACAATAATCTGTGTCAGGCTGCTTTGACGTTGCAGATAAATTTGGATTTATGAAGATACTGCTGTAGTTTGAGGGGGGGGACTATATATGAGATTTTATCCACTGTTATATTTTCATATGCTCCGAAGTTTTATTTAAATCAAACTGTTTTAACTGAATAAATAGTTTTAAAGAGATAAATGTGTATATTTTAAAACTTTCATAGGCGCATAGAATTAAGTGCTTGAAATTGTTTGATATAAATAAAGGTTGGAGGCTTATAATATGGGTATCAAACTTAAACTACATCATTTTTTTAATTGTTAAATGTCAGTAATATAAGGTAATATTCAGTTAAAAATTCCTATATACTGTTTTGTAAATGTTTAGGGGGAATAAATCATACAATTCTATAAATGATATATATTCTGTGTATGTATATATATATATATACCACTTATTTTCATTTTACTGCGATTGTCGCCACTATTAAGTATGTCTTTCTTCTGATCACAATTATATTGATAATTTGTAATTATTTAACTATCTCTCTTATTTTATGCATAATTTATTATGTAATGGAACTATATGCAATAATTTATATGCTTTAAAATTTGATATTCTTCAAAGTCATCAACCCCCATTTAAAAATATACAAGAATTCGCCTTTTTTTTCTGTTGATTTGTGTTGTTCTTTTCCTTCAGGAATGAAATTAATTTCCTTCTCCACAACATTTCTTACCTTAACCAACATCACCCTTTACTTATCAGCACAATTTAGAACTTAGTAAATCTCCTAGGCATAGCCGTTTTTGGGCCCTTCCCTCTTTTCAAAATATATGCTAAAATTTTCTTGCATATTTTTTTACATTTTTATTAATATTTTTTTAATACATTTTGCGTAGTTTGGAATTCCACAGCATAATACAAGATTTCATTGAATCCAAAAATCGCAAAAAAAGTAATATATTAGATCATAAGATTCTGCAAAATAATTTATTACCGAAAAATATTATATTTTTATTTGTATCTTCATAATTTTGTGCAAAATACACTTGCTGTTTTTAAAGCTAAATTATTTTTGTCAAAAAATTTTTTTCTCCCGAGTTTTTCCTAGGCCCTAGGCACGTGCCTAGTGTGCCTATAGGTTAATCCGGCCCTGCTCCTATGGCATTAATGATTTGACTGAAGAATTAAAACGATTAAATTTTTCACATTTTTATCCATTGAAACTTAAGCATATAAAAAAGTTTGGCTCAATAGTCATAATTCAATTATATTATTATGCATTATTTCACATGGTTAAACATAAATTTAAAAATAATTTTAAAAAATCGTTTTTTCATTTATCATTTCAATTTTATAAAAAAATTATGTTTAAAAAAAGAGATTGATTTGAATGTTGGAATATTGATGTTTATAAAAGTAGTGTTGTGATTTCTGAAAACGAAATAAAATTTTTATAGATATTTATAAAAATTATTTCTCACTTTATACAAAACTTTTTATGTCAAGTAACATAAGGTTATTGCGTTCACCTATCTAAACTCACTCTTTCGTGATTTCTTATAGCCATTTTGTTGTTGTTTTTGACCACGAGGGGTCACGAGTTCTTGTTTTCCAGTGGCGCCATCTTTGTCCAAGAATTTGACTTCTGCCACACCCGTTTATAGGGTGGGCCCATTCATACATCTATTCCTTCATCACTCGTAATTTTGCCCTGAACCAGAGAATGATCAATCTCCAATTCAGCTCCGCCAGAGGTATAATTTGTTAAAATGGAGGACTTTGTGATCCGACAGATTTAACGTGCACCCGTCACCATTTACTACACACACCTGAAAACCAGACTATCCTAGCTTTTGTAGCCATGACCTATTTTCAGAAAATATGAAGCCAATATTTTAATATGAATCAAGTTTCAAACAAATAACCC